ACTTTCGCGATCAAGGACAAGACAGTAGTAGGCGGAGTCGGGGTTTAGGCGAACCATGTGGAGGAATTGGTGCGGGGTGACAGAGCCTTGGGAGGACGGATATGGGCGATAGGGGATGTCAATGGTTGTGTCGGGGGGGTTGGTGAGGCGAAGGAAGTTGGGGTGGAATGCGTATGGCATGTAGCGGTCCAGCCACGGGGTTCCTAAGACGATGTCGCACATSAAGTGCATGACATCAAACGAGACCTGACTGCGGAGGGTTCTGATGGTCATGATGGTCTCGGAAACCGTGCGGTCTACTACGACGGCGGCGTCTTTGTCCCCTAGGCGAATCGTGATCGGGGAGTCATAGCCGATAGAGGTAAGACCGGCTTTGCAGACACACGCGTCGGTCATGAAGTTACCGGTGGCTCCAATGTCGAGGAGGGCCCGGAACTTAGTTGTAGACGCACCAACGGCGGCAACGATGAATTTGAGGTGGAAACGAGATGAGTTGGCGGTGGAGATGATGGTGTTGAGGCGGCGGTGTTCGTTGCCTAAGCGAACAAGCCGATCGTGTCGGGCTTGTTCCTCAACAACATCGGAGAAGGTGATAGTGGATGCATTTGGGAGAAGGGTAGAGGAGCATGAGGCAGTGGGAGGTGTTTGCGACGCCAGGGAATCGTTCGGTGGAGGGGGCGTCGCCGGAGAGGGGGAAGGCAAACGAATTGTCGATGTCAGATGGGCCATCGGTGCGACGAAGGATGTCACCGATGGGTAGGCTGACAGATGCAATGTTGATGTCGGGTCAATGTCCTGGGGACTGTGTTCATGACGAGGAGGGGCCCGCGCTTGCCGAGGGTGGTGATGCGGAGGTTGCGGGTCGCGTGGAGGCGGACTGACGGGTGAATCGTGCGGCGTTGGAGCAGTTGGTTTTTTGGTGCCCCAATTGGCGACAACGGAAGCAACCCCCTTTTGCTTGGAGGTAGGTGCGTTCCTCGGGGGTGAGTTTCTTGAGGCGGGAGGGTGGGGTAGATGAGGGTGGTCGGGAGCTGCGATCTCTGCGYTCCATTCTCATGAACTGGACGACATCGAGTTCCTCGGAAGTGAGGGATGAAGAGTCGCGTGAATCGAAAGATGCGTCGGGGTCAGATGTGGTGAACTCGTCTGAGGAAGTGATGGAGGTGGTGTCTTCGGGGGTGATGTGGGGGAAAAAGCGGGTGCGGGAGGTGCCGGGGGGGGCCTGGTGGTGGGGGTGGAGGAGTCGATCGTGGTGGAGCATGCGAGAGAGGAGGTCAGCAAGGGGCATGTCGGGTTCGTGGGCGAGGGCGGTTGCAAGGTCTTTGTGGCATACTCGTTTGATGCGGGWGATGAAYGCACAGTCGGGAATGACGGTGTGGGGGAGGTGGTGTCGGAGGGAGCGGACGTATTGGACGAAGCGGTCCGTGGGACCGGTCTGGCGGAGGTGGCAGAATTGTTCAAGGTAGTCGTCAATGGTTTTCTGGGGGCGGAAGGTGGCAGTGAGGAAGGTGGCCCATTGGAGGAAGGTGTAGCGTGGTCCTCCGGAGGCTCGGCGGTTGCTGGCTTCAGCCATCCACCATTTGGCTGCATTGCAGAGGAGGCGAGAGGTGGCAATGGGGAGCCAGTGGGCAAGGGGCATGTGGTGGAGCTGAAAAGAGTTCTGAAGCTGGGTTAGGAAGAGGAAAACGTCCTCGTGGGGGAGGCCGGAGAAGGACATGATTTCGCCAGATCGGAAGGAACAGGGGAT